AAAAACGTGATCTACGCTGCCATGTCTGGGTGACTTTGGAAGAAATTCTAGATTGAACACTAGCTCCTAAAAGCTAGAGGGCTCTCTCACTCTTCCACCTGGTCTTAATGCCTGGGATTCCCAGGGGTCTGCCCTTGGCCCTCATCTCTCTGTGGACACCTTCAGGCTGTCCCCCTGGGTGGGCACGCCCTCTCCTACTCCAGAGCTGACTCCACTTTGCCACCATGGAGTTTGCTCCTAGGCTCTGGGGCTGCATTTCTGACAGCCTGCTGGGCAGTTCCTCATGCTCTTCAGCATGAACAGATCTAGAATGAGCTGCTTCTGGACTTTTCCTCCAGACCTGATGAGTGACATTGCCACTGACTCAGTTGCCAAAACCAAAGGCCAAATTCCTCCCCTTGCCTCTCTTCCACCGCATTCTGTTCCACCTCTCCCCACATACCCCTTCCGTCTGTCCCCTCTTCTCAGTTCTCAGTGCCCTCACTTGCTTCGGACAACAGTCGGGTCCTTCCTACCTAGGTTCTTGGACCACCTGTGCGTCTGTCCTTTTCCGATTCATCCTTCAGTCAGCGCTCTAAGTTGTATTTCTGAAGGACAAATCTGCTGAACATCTTAGAATGGCTTCTCATGGTTTCCAGGACCTCAGCTCCCATCTACCCCATCCTTCTAATATCGTCACCAGCCTCTAGCATGCCGGACCTCGAGCTTTCAGCCAGGAGCTCCCCACCCCCAACCCCTCATGGCTGTGCCTGCACCTGTCTCTGTATTTGATGGACTCCCCTCCCTGCCTTTGGTCAGGTGTTCCTCCTCCCAGCTCACAGTCCCCTGTGCATCTCTGTCGTAGCTCTGAGCTCCCCCTGTTTACAAAATCCTCTTTACCATCAGATCCTGAGCTCCTGGAGGCAGAAACCATGGCACGGGGCCTGGTGCAGAGGTGGCTGCACCAGGTGTGTGTTGAATGTGGATATATGAATGACACATTCAAAAGAGCTTTTGAAACTGTAAAGGTCCAGGCAGGGTCTAAGTTTTTATTTATTATAATTTGAGATTGAGGATTTGTACCCCAAAGCTATTTTCTAATTTGGTAAATAGAGTCATGAGAGTCTGTTTTGGCCTCTGACTCCTTAATTGCACTGTGGCAGGGTTTAGGGCTGGGGTGGGGTGGCGACAGGGAGGCACTCATATTTTCTCTCTCTCTTTCTCTCTCCCTCTCTCTCTTACCCTTCCTCCCTCCCCTTGCTGAGCTGATGCAATGATAGACTATGAAAAAGGGGGATGGTTTAGTCCAAGGTCTAATTAAGGCAGTTCTTCCTCCTGTCTTCATTGTCTCCACCACCCAGCTGGCTTGGGATATGCCTGAGATTCACAGCAATTCTTCTCACACAAATGCATAAGACCTGCTTTTCTACTGTGTCCCTTTGGCCTGTCACCAGACTTCCCTCAAGCACTCAGCTGGGTGTTCTGCCAGGCAGAATATCAGGGCGCCGGATGCACTCTATCATTAGGGCTCTTTTGGTTGCAAGTGACAGAAACCCAACTCAAACCAGCTTAAGCACGTGGAATTTGTAGGGTCATAGCACCAGGAAGGCCAGACACACATGGTCTCACCAGAGCCCCGTTCCTCTCTCAGGGATGTGGCCCTCTCTGTACCCAGCTCTTTCAGACGGACCCGGGAGGATGGGCATTGTACTGCTGGCCTGCCTGGTACTTACAGCTACAATTCAAGAGGAAAAATAAGACCCTCCAGTCTCACAAAGTGAAACAGATTGTTTTTTTCAATCAATCCTGTGATTGGGGAATGGCAACCCCTGACCACCAGGGCCTGGGCCAGAGGGGGTTTGGAGCATGGGATGCCCACCCCATAAGAACTGTACGGGAAGGAGAGGGGCTGCTTCCCACAGAAAAAGGGACATTGAGCACATAAAACCAATATATACAGTATACGATATATGAGAAGACGACATATGCGGATATGGGGAATCCCATGTGCAAGGGGTCCCATCTTCTGGGAATTTTCCAGTGATACGTTTGCTGCTTTCCTTGGTCTCTTCCAGGTTTATTTTCTTTCGGCCACCTCTTCATTCAGCAGAACCCTTCTCCAGCCCTGATTTGGGGACACCACCTCTTCCACGTCTGGCTTGTGTGCTGCCCCTGGTCCTGTGGGGAACCCTTTGCTGTATTACAGACCCTGACTCAGTCACGGTCCCCTGAATGACATTTCCTGTGTGCTCGAGCTGGGGAGGAGCTAACCTGTCCAATGGCCTCCCTCCTGGAGTCAGTCCCCACTTCTCTTTTCTACTCATCCCTTCCCTTTGAACACCTGCTGATCGAGAGATCCTTGGTGTTTGCCAGCCCCAGGCCCCTCAGTGTCTGTCCCTCATGATCTCAGGCTGGGAATGGCACAGGGGCCCCTCATTCCTTCAGGGATTTGTATTTCTAGGCCATAGCTTCTAGGTTTCTACTTCTAGGCCATAGTTTAATCTCAGGCCAGGGGAACACAAGCATTGTCATTGCGTAGCGTGGTGGCGGAGTTGACTTTGGAGTCAAATTACCCTGGACTCAGCCTGCCTGTCTTCTAGTGGTGAGACTCAACCTGCCTGGGCCTTGATTTCCTCCTAGATAAAACAGAGATGACTGTCATGCAGAGCTGCTGTGAGGGTTTGATGAAGCAGCAGAGGCAGAGTTCCAGCATAGAATTGGCACCCAGGAGGTGTAGCTTGAATATTATCAAAACAGCTGTCATGCCCTGACTGCTGTTGTATTCCAGGCACTGTCCTAGTCTTGTTACCTGTGTTGACTCGTTAACTATTATTGTTAATTGTTATTAATTGGCTCATTGATTCCCTCAGTAGTCCTACGAGGTAGACATTATTTTTACTCGCATTTTACAGATGGGGCAGTCGGAGGCATAGTGGTAGAAACAGGATATGAACCCAGGGCCCGTGGTCTTACCCACTGCGTTATAGGGATTATTTCTGCAGCGTAACTGTGGTCTGGCTTCTCTGATGTGAGCCTCACTGGGTAGACATCTAACTCCACAGCAATTGTGGCAAATGGATTCTTTTCCTGGAGTTGATGTGTTTGTAAAGTCTTTGTGGATTCAGTGTTTTAAAAGTGGATTTTATTAGTTCAGTCAAAGGTGATGTAAACCAGCTGGATCAATTTGGTGGAGCCGAACACTCAAGAGACCCCAAGGTGAACGAGAGAGGTGTGTAGCAGAGCATGCGTTCAAATTCTAGCTCTGCTACTTGCTCTTGGGCAAGTCACTTAATCGCTTCACGTGTCAGTTTCCTCATCTATGAAATGGGATTTTTCTAAGATAATAACCACACTTATTCCAGCTCTGAGTTTAGAAAACGTGAAAAATATACACAAGGGTGAGATAGAGATCAATGGATCAGTTGTATTGCTGGTAAAACTGGCTTGGGTCTGAGGTCAAAACGAAGCTTCCTGGAACTTCCTCCCATACCTAAACTTTGTACCACTCCTATGGGGAAGTTGAATCTATCTAGACCTGGCTTCATGCTTACCTTGACTCAGGTTTGCCTAGTGAGAGGATGGGAGCAGGAGGTGGGAAAACACCTGTCCTGCATTTGGGTGTCACCTGTGCTCCACTTCCCTCCGAAACAGAAAGGAAAAATAAAAAAATAAATGTGGAGCCCCATGGAAACAACCACCAAACTCTAGCCGTCTCTCAAATCACAAGGATAGAGAGACGGATGGACAGTTCTTTTCCTAACACTTTGGAGAGGGAAGAAGTTCTTACTGCATGGGCCAAGATGGGAACCATAAGAGAGGGAGAAGCTGATTGCTTCTTTAAATATCATGCACTCGGTAGCATTGTTGAGAAGATTAAATGAGATGAGGCATACACAGAACACATCAAGTGTGCATGGTTAGTGCTCAGTGTGTCTGACCCACAAGGCGGAATGGCAGCTGGCACATTTATGACATTAATGTAACTACCACTGAATGCAAGAACACTGGTGTCAGCCACTCACTGTATTTTCCTCCTAGTGGAAAACTTATTTGGGAAATCTGGTTGCTGAGGAGGGCACATAAGGACCAAGAGCTCTGTGATTATAGAGGATACAGAAGTCTGATATGTCGGTCTTCTGTACCAAGTAAGGTCTACCCACCAAGCATACTGTAATGCCCACCACATCCATCCCCTGTCAGTGCCAGGGAATGCTCATCAATTTCTTTTAATGTGCCAAAATATATATAATAGAAAATAGGCCGGGCGCAGTGACTCATGCCTGTAATCCTAGCACTGTGGGAGGCTGAGGTGGGAGGATCGCTTAAGGTCAGGAGTTCAGAACCAGCCCGAGCAAGAGCGAGACCCCGTCTCTACTAAAAATAGAAAGAAATTAATTGGCCAACTAAAAATATATAGAAAAAATTAGCCGGGCATGGTGGCGCATGCCTGTAGTCCCAGCTACTTGGGAGGCTGAGGCAGGAGGATTGCTTGAGCCCAGGAGTTGGAGGTTGCTGTGAGCTAGGCTGATGCCACGGCACTCTAGCCTGGACAACACAGCGAGACTCTGTCTCTACAAAAAAAAAAAAAAAAGAAACAAAATATACCACTTTTAACCATCTTTAAGCGTACAGTTCATTGGCATTAAGCACATTTGCAGTGTTGTGCCACCTTCGCATCTATTTCCAAATCTATTTCATCACCCCCAACAGAACCTCTGTGACCATAAGCAATAAGTTCCTTTTCCCTACCCAACCCCTTCACCCCTGGCAGCCTCTAAGCTATCCTGCCTATTTTAGATATTTCATATAAATAAAACTGGACAACATTTGTCCTTTTGTGTCTGGCTTATTTCACTTCGCATGGTGTGTTCAAGGTTCATCCACGTTGCAGCCTGCGTCAGAGTAAGCTCATCACTTCCTACGCTAAAACTCTCCTTTTCATGGCCCTCACGAGGACCTTTTCTGCCAGCTTTTTATGTGTTCTGATCGTACCTTTTCTCTTCTTTTCACCACGTTTTCAGAGCCTCCCCTTCCTGAAGTGGAATTTTTTGCCGTGCATGGAGGGCCTCTCCCACGTCTCAGGCTGAGGAAAGCCAAGGAGAAAAATGGACCGATCAGGTCAGTAGCCATCCTTTCTCCACGGTTGCCCGGTGGTCTTTGGAGACTTTGGTTTGGGCGAGGAGAAGACGTGTGTGGGTGGGTGGCTGCACTCAGGTAGTTGGGGCAGTGCGGCCAGGGCCTCTTCTTTTGCTTCCTTAGGTACAGACTAGGCCTTTAATGCCAACCAACATCTTTTAAATGAACAGAGAGACATCCAAGGGGCCAGAGACAAGCGTTTGGGCAGCTTAGCTCAAGAAATGAAATCTATTCATTTGGTGTCACTGCACAAACATTGGTCGAGTGCCATTGGGCACTGTCGTTTGCACTCACATCTATCTCATGGTACATCCTGTAGTGATGGCGGGCCAGAGCACCATGTCATTTAGCAAAGACAGGATATGTTTCCCTTTATGTATGGCTGATCTTGGGGTGTGCGGAGTGGTTTCCGAAAGGGTCATTTGGATAATTCTTTTTATCTATTCATGCATTGCATTATGGGCAAGACACTGTGTGGTTAATGACCACTTCTGGGATTCCAGATGGTATTAGGATGGAATTAATTCACCCCAGTTGGAGAACTACACTGTGTGCATGCAGCTAAGCGTTTTATTTGCAAAGGTCATGATAGAATTAGGAAAGCACAGTCGGTCTGTTTTCTAGAGAGGAAAGTTGAGGTTGCTCAGAGACATGAACAGTTTGCTCACAGTACCAGGTCAAGGAGATGACAGTGTACTAACCTACATGCCTTATGTCTCTCTCTCTTGACCCTTCAGTATAATCAAGGTAAAAAAAAAAAAAGAGAGAGAGATATTATAAAATTCTGAAAAAGTCTGGAGATATTATCTGTGTGTCCATTTATAATGAAACTTAGGATTTTCCTGTTTTTATATTAGTTTAAATTCAGTGAATGCCCAAAGATCTTTCCAGGGATGGGCATTGCATAAATCGTTCTGTTTCTTGGTTCTTGACGAGTTACTGAAAGGCATTGCACTTCTGTTGCTGTAAGGAGAACAGAAGCTGTGACGTCACTCCCTGAGAGAATTTGCAAGAACAAATGTGGTATTTAAGCCAAATAATTACGTAAGGCAGAAAGAAAAGCCAAATGACAGTCTGCCCCTGTGACTGTGTGCTGGCCAGTGCCTCCAAAACAGGAAATGGAGACCTGTGAGTCATTCATTCTGGGAGTGTGGCAATGGGGGGAAAAGTCCTTCCAGAACAGCCGTGCTCCAACCAGCCGCAGCTGCTTCCCTCACGTCAGCCGGGCTAATCAGCAGCAGGCAGGCAGGTGGGGCGGTTTCCTCAGCCTGACTACCTGACTTGAGCGGGGGGTGGCAGCTTTGCCAGTGTGTGACACGGGCCTGTGTCTGCCCTGAGCGTTGTTCAGGGGTAGTGCCTTGGGGCACGCAGTGGAGCAAGGGCCCTGGGACCAAGTCTCCCTTCCTGAGCTTCTGGTCTCAGGCAGGTGATGACGTCTCCCTAATGCTAGTGTCTCCCACGCTTAGCAGATTATAGGAATCACCTGGGGTGCTTTATCAGCACCACAAATTCCCAGATCCTACTCGGGGAGATTTTGATTCACTAGGCATAGCATAGAAGCTAGGAATTTGTGTAATTACCAAGCAACTCAGGTGGTTACGCTGAGGCTAATTGGGGAGCCTCTTCATTCCCTGTAATGATGCCTCTATGGGCATCATATAGAACCACCTGGGTGCAGGTGAGCCTTGACCTTGCACTTCAGCACTACCACCTACACAGAGAGATGAGAGGCGTTGGCAGATGTGCTTATGGACAGCATGGAGCTGCTGCAACATTCCTTTCTCACCTGCAGCCATGTTTCACAGGGATGTCTTCTAGTCCCCAAGAAAGCTGCTTGTCCCACGTGTTCCCTGTAGGCAGTGAATGCTTAGTACATGTTTACTGATGGAGACAACTTATTGCCTTGCAGGTTTGACTTTTTGTAGAAAGCCCTTGGCTGAAAGCAAGCTCAGGCTTTGAGGAAATCTGGGCCCTGAGGACACCCAGGATGTTCGGGCACCTGTTGGGGCAGGCTTTTCCAATCGAACACCTACATGGAGGAGGGCTGCCTCTTCTTAATCTAGTCATTCCTGGACTTTTAGGAAGCAGGAGATGGGGCATTAGGAATGTAAAGCAGAAAGTGCAAATTTACTGGTAAAGTAGAATTAGGTGTCCTAATGAGTTTGGGAAATTACCCTAATCATATTTGGCGCTAATGTATGCTTTTCCTCTATACTGAAATTACAACTCAAGACACATTAACCAGGTGTCGATCATAGCTAAAGAACTGTGCAAGGATTTGCGAGGATTCAAGAGTGAGTCTTTCAAATCCCTGCTATCAAGTCCGGTAGAGACAGCAGACGTTCACACACTGTGCTAGGGGCAGGTGACAGGAATGGAAAGACAGGCATGAGGCATTCTCGGTGCGTTTTTATGCTTACACTTCTTTCACTGACAGGTTTTCTATTGTGTGGGATACATAGTAATAAAATGTGTGACAAAATGACACCTGATTGTTAGTGTGTTTTTAGGTCCACGTTTAGGGAGCAGTGTCGCAATGTACATGTGACACTGTACTTTTCTGGCCTTTTCACAATATTGTCAGACTAGATTAACCGGGGGCGACTCTGCACTCCTGGCTTCTCCTTTATTTCACATGAACTTTGGTGTCAGCCTGTGAAGTGGAGGGAATGTAAATCACATGAGTTCCGTCTGAGGTTGCCACATGATTGTCTGCAGCCTTTTTTCAGAGTTGGTACATTAACTCTTCTGGGCACTTGTTCTCCATGTGACCGCTAAACCCTTTCCAACGTTGGGCTTTAGCTGCCCACGTGAAAATCACTGCCTGGGTGAACTTTATGACACATGCACAGGGCAGTGACACATGCAACAACTTCTTGCAACTCAAGAGGATGTACTTGGCATCCCTCCACAGCTGAAGCTTGGAGAGGTCCCTTTCCCATGTCGTCTGGCATTGACACTGTAGGTTCGAACTGGAGTTCCATGACAGTTGGAGCTGTCAGACTGTAGATCCCACGTGGGCTGGGAGTTCTTCTTGTCCAGTGTCGTGTTCTTGGTGCCTAGAAAAAGCATTTATTTCCTAGCAGGTGCTCAATAAATATGAATAAATGAATGAGTGAATCCCCCAAGCAAGGGTCTGATAGACACTTTCTTCTTTCTTCCAGTTCCTATCAGGTGTTAGTGCTTCCCTTGGCCTTTCAAAGCACGTTTGCTTGTGATTCTGAAAGGGCTGCCTCATTCTTTAGCAACACCTCTGATGCTGATGGATATGTGGCCGCAGAAATCCTGGCCAAAGATGTTCCAGATGATGCCATGGAGATATCTATTGGAGACAGACTATACTATGGGAAATACTATAACGCACCCTTGAAAATAGGGAACGATTACTGCATTATATTACGAATCACAAGTGAATGGAATAAGGTATATTTCTTTAAAAACTCTTGTCAATGCTGTATTTTCTTCTTCACATGAAATTTAAATGTTTGAACATTTGTTTTTCCAGGATTTGAGATAGACACCGCATGTAAATAACTATAAAATGTGTTTGAATACTTTGCTTTTATAAAGGATGGGCAGGTGAAACCCTTATAGATAATAGATATCTGACTATTACTGTAATCTATTGTGCGATATGCGATTCGCAAATATTTTCTTCCATTTTGTGGGGTGCATTTTTACTGTTGATAATGTCCTCTGATGTCCCAAAGTTTTTAATTTTGATGAAGTTTGATTTGTCTATTTTTTTCATTTGTTGCCTGTGCCTTGGGATCAAAGCCAAGAAATCATTGACAAATCCAGTTTCATGAAGCTTCTCCTCTATGTTATCTTCTAAGAGTTTTTGATATATACATACATACATATAAACATATATATGTAAGAGACAAGGTCTTGCTCTGTTGCCTATGTTAGAGTGCAGTGGTGTGATCATAGCTCACTGTAGCCTCAAACTCCTGGGCTCAAGTGATCCTCCTGTCTCGGCCTCCTGAATTGCTGGGACTACAGGTGCTACCCATCATGCCCAGCTAATTTATTTATTTATTTATTTTTTCTTTTAAATTTTTTTCTTATTTCATTAATTAAATTTTTACTCTTTTTTTTTCTTTTATCCAATAAAGTGCTAGTAACCAGAATCTATGATTTATTTTTTTTTAAAGACTAGGGTTTCACTATGTTGCCAAGGCTGATCCCATATCTTGGCCTCAAACAATCTTCCCACCTCAGCCTCCCAAGTCTCTGGGTTTACAGGAGTTTTATAGTTTTATAGTTGTTATAGTTTAGGTCTTATATTTATTTAGGTCTTTGATCTATTTTGACTTAATTTTTGTACATGCTGTTAAGTAAGAGTCCAACTTCATTCTTCCGCATGTAGATATCCAGTTTTCCCAGCACCATTTGTTGAAAAGACTGTCTTTTCCCCATTGGATGGTCTTGGCACCCCTGTTAAAAATCATTTGACATACATGCAAGGGTTAACTTCTGGGCTCTCTATTCTATTCCATCAGTCCATATGTCTGTCTTTATGTCAGTCCACACTGTTTCAGTTACTGTAGCTTTGTAGCAAATTTTGAAATCAGGAAATATGAGTCTTTGAACTCCCCTATCTTGTTTTTCCTTTTGTATATCTGTCCTGATAAATAGCATTGCCATGCCTCCAGTTGCTAAGACAGAAACCTGGGGATAATTCTCGTCACCTCCTGCTTTCTTACCTTCTTATCTGGCTATCGGCATATCATGGCAATTTTATCACCTTGGTGCTGTTGAAAATCATTCTTTCCTCTCCTTCTTAATCTGCACTGCTTAGACTTTATCATCTCTTGTCTGAATGTCAATTTTCTAACTCATTTTCCTGTCTCTTCTTCTACCCATCTCCTTGTTCCCTACTGCTGCCAGATGAGTTTTACAAAATGCAGATGTGATCAAGACACTCCAGCTTAATGAACTCCATTTCTCACCTGGCCCCTGCCAGTTCCTCTCCTTTGATATACTCCACTCCCTAGGAACTGCCTTGCTATTCGAGGTCCCTTTGATTCTCCAGTGTCTTGTAATATGTTCTTCACTGGTTATTCTTGCACATTATCTTCCCATTTCTAATCTCTGCACTTAGCATCAAGGCAAAATTTAGTCACATTCAAACTCTTATGGCTATTTAAAGCTTTTTCGAAAAATTTTCAGCTTGAATTTTTTTTCAATGTTTAATAAAATAAAAATCAGAATTCCCAAGTTACCACTTGAAAGAGAATCTCCTGATGACATTAGAGGAATCGTTCTCTAACTCTCACTATTCAGCTTCCTCTGGGGAATATTTTGCTGAGTCTTGTACACAGCAATCCCAGCATTTTTTACAGATAAATATGCATGTAATAATGACAGGGGAGAGGAGAAGGTGCTTCATTCCAATGAGTCTGTAGGTTTCTTCTACCATGGTTGGGCTTGCATACATGTTCCTGTTGCTTTCTTCTTGACTTTTGGATATATTTTGGGTAACTGAGGTTGTCAATTGTCATCCAGATGGGTGAAATATTATTATATATCAGGACTTCTCGTAGTTTTGCCTATAACCATGAATTACTACTTCCTACTGAACCTGCATATGGCTTCAGAATCCTTTTCAACACAGTTCTGCAGGCAATCAGTGCCAGTTGCTCAGAGCTGGCCAGAGGGATGAACCTTTTTGCCACTCCTGTTGTTTGCCCATAGTGTGTGCTTTCTGAGACCTATTAGAAACTTACAGAAGTGATCTTTAGGGTCACTTCTGTCCCTGTAACCCATGCCAGTCCCTTGGACACTGGGTGATAGATTTCTGAATCATAAGATATTAGACATAGATGTGACTTTAAAGATCTTCTAGTTCAAATTAAGAGATAAAAAAGCTGAAACTCAGAGTGCTTCAGCTTCCGAACTATATTATTTAAGCTGACATTGAGTGCCACCCAGTTAAATGTGTTACTATGTTTTCCTTTTCCTTTTTAGGTCAAAAGATGCTCCTGTGCAGTTTGGGCTCAGGTGAAAGGTAAGATCATTTTCTGCCTCTGAATGCTGTCCTTATTTCTCTTCTGTGCAATCTGCTGCATCAAGTTTATGTTAATGGAGATTGCTTTTTAAAATTGTCACAGGTAACAGAAACCTAGCTCCTACTAGCTTAAGTAAAAAGCCATAATTGAAAAGAATGGGGGGAAGGGTGGGTAAGTGGGGACTTATGGACTTAAACAAAGAGCTTTACCGCTAGGACTCCAAGAACTGAGCCTTGGGACTCAACCCCATGAGTGGGACTCCCCTTTCTGTCCATCTCTTGTTTCTAAGTGTGAGTTGGCCTCATTTTTTCCTCCTATAGGCCGTGTGATGGGGAGGGATGGCAAGCTGCCCCAGTTTAGCAATTTTAGTGGGAACAGCAAGTTTTTCAGCTCAGGGAAAAACTCTTTCTAATGGGTAGTTAAGTGACTATCCATTAATCACTTAACCTCATCACTGTTAATAAGAGATGGGGTACTAGGATGGGCCTACCTTGGGTTTTGTGCTTGCTCATGGCTGGTTAGGGGCAGTGCAGTGTGATCAATAGCTCTACTAGGGCTGCACTGAGAGGGGGACAAGATCTCCATTAAGAAAAGGGGCATAGGAAAACATGCTGGCAGATCAAAACAAAAGCTACAATGATTTGCTACCTCCTACCATGTGGCTGTGAGGCATATGCACACACATGTATTAATAATATTAAGAAAGATATCCTCCATTAGCAAAATGGAACTATCCCTAGGTACAGTCCAAAACAGAACCCTCCTGGAAGACAGCTCAAAGGTGGGGGTGTTATTGCATCTGGCTCCAAGACCAGGAATCTTTGATCAAGTCCAGATGTGCTTCCCATGCTCTGTATAAGCAGTCTGTGACTAAACGGCAAATTTAACCGTCCTCAAACCACAGTATATATAATATGAAAGGGAAAACTGGATAACCACAATAAATACTCTCATTTAGAAAGGAGAAAAAGATCAAGCAATGGACAGTGGTCAGGGTTGGGGGGGTCTATAACAATGATCCCCTCTTGCTGGACAGGAAACGCAGACATCCCCTGCCCCGGCAGCAGAATGGGTCACTTGGTCCTTGAGTTTGGGCCTGCTTGATGGAGAGTGCTCCTTGTCCATTTCCTCCAAAGCCTTTCCCAAGAGACGCAGTGGGAAGGCTCTTGCATCTCCTTCCCTTGGCAGAGTTTATCCAGGCGGGGGAAGTGCCTCAGGGTTGGAGCAGTCACAGGTCTTTGTTTGCCAGGTTTGGGATTTCCCTGGCAGTACAATACATATCTTTAAAACCAACAGGCAGCCAGCCAGTGGATTTGAGTCCCAGGAATTCCATTAGTTTGTAGCTAATACCAGAAATCTTGTCAAGTTTATGACCTTCGAATCTGGACCTCTTCCTTGTGGTTTATGAGTTGGAGCAACAGGCCGAGAAATTCTGCCCTCAGCCTGGAGCATCAGTTTAACCCCTTACATCCTGTTCCCTACCTCAGAGCGGCAGAAGACAATAGGCTGGTGTGGTGAGAAAGCGCTGGTATAACTTATAACTTCGCTTTTAGGAGGAGTCCAGGGGATGGCACTTTACAATGGGGGATTCGTTATCCTGTCAGTAGAGGGTACTTTGCAGGAAATATTTCAGAGGGCTTCCTGGGCTTCCTCCATTCGTCTGTTTCTCCTCTAATCTTATTTCCCATCCTTTTTCACTCTCCTTAAACCAACTTACACAAGGGTAGAGGACTTTGCGTTTCAGCCGGGCAAGGCGGGTTACCTGCCCGTCAGCCATCTTGGACTGCTGTGCTGTTCTGTTTCTGTGTGCAGATGGGCCGCACTCCCTTTCTTGTAGGGATTAATGAAGGCCATGAGAAGCAACCACACATTCCAACATTCAGAAAATTCTTTGCCACTCCGTCCCCGAAAGCTCTAGGGGCGGGAATGGCGTTCTCACAAGGAAAAAGAGGTGCCTGTATCAAAAGAATCAAGATGTGCAAGCTTCCAGACACAGAAACGATAGCTTCCAGAATCCACTCCACTCAGCAACTGTTTGGTATGATTGGAAAACACTCAAACTGGGTAGAAGAAATAGCCAAAGAGCCGGCTGCAGCCATTCTGCTATGATTAAGTTAACAGGAAAGATTTTGCTTTGGAAATACCTAAATGGCTTTTGGCAGTGCTGTCTTGTCTCCCCTCAGCTTGAGAACCGATGTTGAGAGTTTGAGCCTTTGAACTGAAACCACTGGAAAGCTCTGGAAGATAATAGAAAACCCACTGTTCTGTCGAAATTCTGAAGGCCATTCTAGCATACGTTTACCTATGTCAATGGAAAAAAGCCAAACTCTGTAAAATAATTTTAAAGAGATTTATTCTGAGCCAAATTTGAGGACCATGACCCGGAGCCACTGCCAAGAGGCCTTGGGCAAGTGGACTCGCCGTGGCTGGGTTACAGTTTAGTTTTATACATTTTCAGAGAAACAGGGGTTACAGCCAAAGTCACAAATCAATACATGAGAAGCATACATTGGTTTGGCCCAAAAAGGTGGGACATCTCCAAGCGGGGGTGGGTTTAAAGATTTCTTGGCTGGCAATTGGCTGAGAGAGTTAGACTTTATCTAGAAGACCAGAAAGGATGTGCTTATTTTAAGATAAGGGTGTGAGCACTCTGGGAGGTCCAGACAGGAGGAAATTTTAAATTTATGATAGGTGCCTGCTAGGATGCTTTAAGATGCTTTAAATTTACGAATAGGCATCTGCTAGGATGCTTGAGTTATGATAGGGGCCTCTTATCTTTTAGGTGATGTTAATGCCATACCAGAATCAGGTTGGGAAGTAAACCACCGCTTTATTTGGTTAACAAAAACCGCTTAGTGGGAATTTATCGTTTGTCAGCCTGACCCAGCTGGCCTCCTTAGGAAGGAGTTTTTAGCAAAAGAAAAAGATCAGAGTTTAGTCCTCACCTATGTGTAAAATTTACCTGTGTTGTGTACTCATCTCAGGCGGTCAACTTTTTCAAAATATTTTGGAGACTGCCATTTTGGAAAGTAATTCGGAGAGAGCTGGAATGCAAATTAGTCCTGAAATTGTTCCAAATCACCTGTGCCAAGCCTCAGTCAGCCCCATTCTGGCCTTTGCCCAGAGACAAATCATGCTATTTACCTTTTGGATATAGCCTCTAAAAAAGCTTTGTGTTGATTACCAGGAAAGCAGCAGTTGGTTTGATGGAAGATGCAGGGGCCTGGGCTTACTTGCCCGAGTCCTGCTACTAATCAGCCGAATGTCTTTGAAATGATATTTAACTTGGCCGGTTCTCAATCCCCTCTTTCCGGGATGTCTGAGATCACTTCCAGCCACAAGGTACTACGAGTCTGTGATTTCTTGAGTCACAAAGCAAAGTCATTTGATATATGTGAGATGATAATAAGCTGTAATCCGGGAACATTCTCCAGTCGTAGCATGAAACCTCTGAGTCATTCGTGATGACTCCCCTTTCTCTTTTAGCTCACATCTCGCACCCTGATTTTTATTTCTGTGTTCACTCCCTGAACATAGGCCTTCATACCTGCAGCATGGATGACTGGGAAAATTCTCCCTTCTCATCTCCTATCAAAAGAGCTCAGGATTTTCCTCTTCAGCCTACATACCACCACCTGACTCATTTCTAAACTGCAGCACTGATTTTATTACTTTTCTCTGATTTTTCCATGGGTTCCCCATTATTTTTCAGCCTGGCTTCCAAGGCCTTCTTTTGACACCAACATACTCTTCTAATTGCATCTCTCACTCTTTTCATTCAAACTGACCTTCCAGCTGTTCTCTGGAAGTGGCCCATACTTTTCCTCCTAATGTCTTTGCATGTATGATTACTTCTACCTGGGTTGCCTTTCACCTGCTTGTGAATCTCTGCTTATTACAAACTCCACCTGTTCTTCAAGATTAGAATCAAATGCCCTTTCCTCCCTGAAGCTTTTCTTATTTCCTCAACAGGACAGGATCTCCCTCTCTTCGGCCATTCTGCCATGCTTTAACAGGGGTCCTCAAACTTTTTAAACAGGGGACCAGTTCACTGTCCCTCAGACCGTTGGAGGGCCGTTGGAGAGTGCAGCTCACATTCCACACATGTGCACTGTGGCCCCGGGGTGAGTTGGCTGCTAAGCAGGACAGGCAGCGGCGGCAAAAACACCGGGCAGCCTGGATAAATGTCCTCAGCGGGCCGCAGTTTGAGGACCCTTGCTTTAGAGCAACTGGTATGCACTTGTTCTGTCTTTTCCTGTTAGATTCCAAACCCTCGAGACAGAAAGCCTTTAAAGAGCAGGAACAGAGGCTGGCATGCGTTAGGTCCTCAATCAGAATGTTCTGAATTTGGCTGAATGATTTTGGGGCAGCAGCAGTTAGTTTTATGGGAAATGAAGCATAGTAGGTGAAATGCTTATCAGATAAAATATGCTAGGGAAGATTTACATCAACATATAAACCTAGTCTATATGTATACATATGTGCATTATATGTATATGCACACACGCACAGTCATTTTAAACTCTACAGTTGTGGTGGGCAGAGTACTAAGATGGCTCCCCAAATTCCTGGTCTCTGGTTACACCTACCTTCTCTTAGTTATTCATGCAAAGACTATTCTAGTTGTTGCTGTGAAGGGATTTTGAAGATGTAATTAAGATCTAAAATAAGGCGATTATCCAAATGGGCCTTACATAATCACAGGAGCCCTTTAAATGTATCTAGAGTCAGAGATAGGGGAAGTTGAAGATCCAGAGGTTGAGATGGATTTGACACAGGGAAATTCTCCAGCTGGCTAGAAGATGGATGGCTCACGTGGCCAGGAATGCAGGTGGCCTGTAGGAACTGAGAGTAGCCTCTGGCTGACAGCCAGTAAGAAAATAGGGACCTTAGTTTTATAACTGCAAGTGTCTTAGTCCATTATTGTGTTGCTGTAACAGAATACCAGAGGCTGGGTAATTTATAAAGAAAAAATTATTTGGCTCTTGATTCTGCAGGC